ATTGGACTTACAGTTCCATGTGGCTGGGAGGATTCACAATCATGGAGATAGATGAAAGCCACATCTCACATGGCAGCAGACAAAAGAAGAGAGAGCTTGTGCAGGGAAACTCCCATTTCTAAAACTATTAGATCTCATGAGACTTATTCACTATCAGGAGAACAGCACACGAAAGACTCACCCCAATGATTCAATTATCTCCCACCAGGTCCCTCCCATAAAACTTGGATATTATGGGAGTTACAAGATGAGATTTGAGTGGGGACACACAGTCAAATAATATCATTCCACCCCTGGATCCTCCCAAATCTCATGCCTTCACATTTCAAACCACAATCATGCCTTTCCAACAGTCCCCTAAAGTCTTAACTCATTTCAGCACTAACTCAAATGTCCGCAGTCCCAGGTCTCATCTGAGACAAGGCAAATAGCTTTTGCCTCTGCACCTGTAAAATAAAAAGTAAGTTAGTTATTTCCTAGATACAATGGAGTACAAGAATTAGGTAAATACAGCCATTCTGGATGGGAGAAATTGACCAAATCAAAGGGATTATAGGCCCCATGTAAGTCTGAAATCCAGGCGGGGAGTCAAATCTTGAAGTTTCAAAATGATCTCCTTTGACCCCATGTTGCATATCCAGGTCATGCTGATGCAAGAGATAGGTTTCCATGTCTTGGAAAGCTCCACCCCTGTGGCTTTGCAGGGTACAGCCTCCCTCCCGACTGCTTTGACTGGCTGGTGTTAAGAATCTGTGACTTTTTCAGGCTCATGGTGCAAGCTGTCAGTGGATCTATCATTTTGGCATCTAGAGGACTGTGGCCCTCTTCTCACAGCTCCGGTAGGTGGTGCTCCAGTAGGGAATTTGTGTGGGGGCTCCTACCCCACATTTCCGTTCCACACTGACCTAGCAGAGGCTCTTCATGAGGACCCCATCCCTGAAGCAAACTTCTACCTGGGCATCCAGGAGTTTCCATACATCTTCCGATATCTAGGTGCAGGTTACCAAACCTCCAATCCTGACTCCTGTGCACTTGCAGACTCCACACCACATGGAAGCTGCCAAAGCTTGAGGTTTGCACCCTCTGAAGCCATAGCCTGTGTTCTACATTGGTCCCTGAGCAGCTGAGACACAGCGTACCACAACCCTAGGAGTCACATTGGAAACCACTTTTTCCTTCTAAGTCTCTGGCCTGTGATGGGAGGGGCTACTGCAAAGGTCTCTTGCATTCCCTGGAGACATTTTCCCCATTGTCTTGGTGATTAACTTTTGGGTCCTCATTACTTATGCAAATTTCCTCATCTGGCTTGAATTTCTCCCAGAAAATGGGATTTTCTTTTCTATTGCATTGTCAGGCTGCAAATTGTTCAAACTGCTATGCTCTGTCTTACTTTTAAAACTGAATGCCTTTAACAGCACCCAAGTTACCTCTTGAATGCTTTGCTGCTTAGAAATTTCTTCTGCCAGGTACCCTAAATAATCTCTCTGAAGTTCAAAGTTCTACAAATCTCTAGGGCAGAGGCAAAATGCCACCAGTCTAATTGCTAAAACATAACAAGAGTCACCTAGTTCCCAACAAGCTCTAGTTCCCAACAAGTTCCTCATCTCCATTTGAGACCACCTCAGTCTGGGTTTCATTGTCCATATCACTAACAACATTTTGGTCAAAGCCATTCAACAAGTCTCTAGGGAGTTTCACATTTTCCCACATTATTCTGTCTTCTTCCCAGCCCTCAAATCTGTTGCAACCCCTGCCTGTTACCCAGTTCCAAAATTGCTTCCACAATTTCAGGTATCTTTTCAGCAGTGCCCCACTGTACTGGTACCAATTTACTGTATTAGTTCATTTTCACACTGCTGATAAAGACCTACCCATACTGGGCAATTTATCAAAGAATGAGGTTTATTGGACTCACAGTTCCACATGTTTGGGGAGGCCTCACAATCACGGTGGAAGGTGAAAGACAGTCTCACATGGCAACAGACAAGAGAAGAGACAGCTTGTGCAGGGAAACTCCCGTTTTTAAAACCATCAGATCTCATGAGACGTATTCACTGTCACAAGAACAGCATGGGAAAGACCCACCCCATGATTCAATTATCTCCCACCAGTACCCTCTCACAACACATGGAAATTATGGGAGTTATAGGATGAGATTTAGGTGGGGACATAGAGCCAAACCATATCTACTGTATAACAATGTACATATAATTAACAATACTGTACTGTATGCTTAAAAAGTTGTTGAGTGTATATTTCATGTTATGTGTTATTTAGCACAATAAATACATTTAAAAAATTAAATATAAGGATATCTGCACAGTTGGAGAGCTGTGATGCTCAATGCTTTTACTTTTCATGCAATTATAGTTAGTCACATAAACTCCAATATCCCTTGTGTGTCACCCCCAAATTAGAAATGCCTCTTTTTCTTGTCACTGTAACTCTCTAATATACTCATATGGCTAATTAATTATGTAAGTCTTTTGTATCTGAAAAGAGAGGTTACATTGCCAAAATAAAAATAAAAATAAACAAAAAAACACACAATATTTTAAGAGGAGAACATAGCTCCTAAGCTTTGGAACTTGTGGCAAGAGCCTGGCTGATTAGGGTTTACATTGTGAGACATTATAAGTTGGCTTCAATATATAACATACTAATAATGTGGACATCCCAATGCCCCAAAGTTGAAAAAAAAAAAAAAAACTATGCAACTCATATTCTATCACTGTCTTTAACAGTGTCAGTGAACATCAGCAGGGAATTAAAACTGTATAAGGAATTGGGAACATTTTGCATATATTTTACATTGGTTAAAGTGGACAATGGACTCATCTGTGAAAAGAGATTTCAACTTTTCACCAAAAATGAAAAAAAACGAGTTAAAGCCAGACCAACCAGGAATTGAAACAGCAACTAAACAACCAGCTACAATTTTCTGCTTTCTTAACAACACTGTTATGTTTCCACCCCTCTCTGATTGCTTCATTGTTCTCACTGCTTGAAGATTGGATGTCTGCACTAGATTAAAAAGGGAGAGACTATTTGGAAATCACCATTGTATTAATGTCATTTAAAATAGTATATGGCACATGCTGGCTATTTAATAAATGTTTAATTATTTGATGTTTCTATGCACAAACAATGGAAAATACCGCCTCCTGTTTTCTGTATGTCTTTTGAGGCTGAATCTTCATGAAGCTGACTCAAATTAGTGTCACCTAATTACAAATTACTAGTAGAAAAACACTAGCCTCGTAGGAATCCCTTTATTCAATATTCACTCAATAACATGTGAGAAGCAGATTTTTGTCTGATGGAAGTATAGAGGCACAGAAAATACAAAGGCCGTATCTTTTATGTGCATATAAGTTTTGCTATAAGAATGGTTAGCAGAGTAGTATTTTAACCGAGTATTAAAAATCCAGTAAATGTTTCTGAGAGGGGAAATAATGTAATAAGAACTTTACATCCTCAAAAATGATGACTGGAGGTATCAAGATTGGTTGGTGTTAGAAAAGGGGATACTGAAAAGTCAGGCAGGAGGGTGTTGGCATAAAATATGGCTTAACACCGATGGTACCACCGGAAATGGAAGAGAAATGAGAGATCAGTGATACAGTTTATGGCAATTAAGGTGAAACATGTCATATAACTTAAACACATGTCAATATATTAATGGATTCTAAATATACTGTCATAAAAGGTTTGAGTTAGACACAGGAAAAAAAGTAAATGCTTATACAGTTCAAATACACATGTTCTTATGGATCAGGGCTGCCACTGTCAATGGGTTTTTACATGCCACCAGGTAAGTAAGAATGTGAACGAGGGCATTTAAATCCATATGTCTGAAAAATGTGGCTTGTTAGTTTAAGTGTACTTTTTAATTTCAGCAAAGAATTATATATTTAAGAAAGTCTTTGGGACACATGTAGATATCAGAAACTTAATGGATTCTTGCTTTCAGTGGAATGGCTTCAGTGGCCTATTTGGATGGCAACAAGTTCTCATTAGACTAAACGATATATTTTCTGATGATTATTTGAAATTTGTAGTCAAATCATTTGGCTTTATCTTTGACAATCTAAATGATCTATGTGCTACATTATAAATATTACTTTACAGAAAGCAGTTATTTTTCTTTGGTAAATTTGAGCAAAAATTATAAAATATATTCAATATTTTATTTTCTTCCTAGATACTTTTGTGGATTTCTTTTTAATTTTGATTAAAAATATCATGGTACTGATAAACAGCTTTTTCATTTCTAAAGGTCTGTATATTGTGAGAAATATATATGTATATACTTTGAAAGTTCCTGTGGGGAAAAAAAAGTGAGAATTTTTTTTTTTTCTAAATTGAGGAGATGCATATTTTTATATGGAATAACAGATACATTTAGAGTGTATTCTTGACCTCTTTCTTCAAGTATTTTGACAGATGGTGGAAGTAATAGTGAGCTATATTTGGATCTCTGTAGTGGATACTTTATACATGTAAATAACATATATCTGCTCAGCTGTGGTAGCTCATGATTGTCATCCCAGCACTTTGAGAGTCTGAGGGGGGAGGATAACTTGAGGTCAGGAGTTCAAGACCAGCCTGGGCAACAGAGTGAGACACCATATCTACAATTAAAAAAAAATTCAACTGGGCACAGAGGTGCATGCCTGTAGACCTTGCCAGTAATACACATGCCTGTAGACCTTACTCAGGATGCTGAGGCAGGAGGATCACTTGCACCCAGGAGTTCAAGGTTACAGTGAGCCATGATGATGCCACTGCAGTTCAGCCTAGGCAACAGTGTGAGACCCTGTCTCTAATTTAAAACACATACATCTGTGTCTATAGCTTTATAGTTATATATATAGATATAGATATAAATAGATATAAAACAGTCATAAAAATCTATAATGAGATATTATGATATTCAAAATGTTTGATTAGAGCAATAGAGTCATAAATCAATCTTAATCAAGCTACAGATAAATTGTAATGGATGTAAGCCCTAAACAATTTATACTGGTGAGAGTTTGCATGTCTCCATTAGTAAGCGTTTCAATTCCAAAATATACATGGATTAAAGAGGGTAGATACTGTCATATTTTATTCAAGGGAATTGAAAGAACCAAAGAATAAGCTGCATACATTATTTCACAATAAATATAGCTCCTTTATAAAATCATCATTTTTGCTTCTTCTATTTTGATCCACTAGGTCATTTGCAACCCAACCTCAAGAAGTCTAATTTTGACCAAGAATCTGTCAAGTGGTATTGTATTGTTGATGCAAAAGAAGCCAACAAGTTCAACAATTTCTTTTGACTAAAAGTATAAATAGCAATGTTTTGTATGCTAACCAAAACCTCTATAGTGTGACCATAACGTAATGTGGCCTACCAGTAAATAATTACAATATTAAGAGATGTTTACACACAACACTTAAATATTATTAGAATTTCTTGTGTTTTTCTACCATTATATACTACTCTGATCTGGACAAATACAATCAATCACTGCCTACCTTACAAGAGTATTGATTTGAGCTGGGCAATTTGTAAGGAAACAGAGAACACATGTCATTATGCATATTTATTTACTACCTTATAATTATCTAGAAAAAACTTTAGGTAGTCACCTCCTGCAATAGAACTTCCAATTGCCTTGATCTCTTCAAACCAAAGAAAACACAAACAAGGGAAGGAGAAGGAGTTTATTATCCTCTTTGTTCTGGGTTAATAGACATTCTACATTTATTTCAGTGTTCATCGATTAATATATGAATATACTTTGCACTTTCAACATTTTTAGTCACATTTGCTTTTCCAAAGTGAGCTCTTAACTCTGTTTTGAGTCTCCCTTACTCATGGGGCAATAATGATTCCCAAGCACAAATAAATTAAATTGTATTAGAAATTAAAATATGAATCTGGTGAATTTACCTTTTTACAATAATTTGAATACAATCGTATGATGTACATTCTTCTAATTATCTGGGACATATTATGTGTTCCAAAGATGTTGAAACAATATCCATTATTTGTTCCACAGCTCTTCTAGAACCTTGTAACTTCGCTATCAAGAGGATCCCTTTGACCCTTCCTTGACCTTGTGGATTTTTCTGAGTGCTTTGGCCAGTATAATATGGCAAAAATGATGCATTTGAATTCTGAGATTGTGTCATGAAAAAGTCATTAAGTTCCACTTCATTTTTCTTAGGATGATTTTTCTTTGAATCCGGCAACCATTCTGAGAGGAAAGTTAAAACAGTCCATGCAGAAAGGCCACATGAAATGGCTAGATGTGGTTGCTAGGGATGACAATTTGGCTGAGGTTCCAGCTGCCAGCATACATCAAGTTTCAGATATGAGATTGAAGATGTCTCCAGACTATTTGAGTTCCATGTTGTTGAGTCACATCACGGAGCAGAGAAAGATTATGCCATCTGTCCAAACTCCTGATTTAAAAAAACTCATGGCAATAATAAAATTTTAATATATACTACCAGATTTACTGTGGTTAGTTACATATAATAGTAACTGAAAGGTCAAATAAGTATACAAAGCATGTTATATTTTAGATACATCACCGATAACAGTGATGTGACTGTATGCAAAAACTGGGTTATTCCAAAATGCCTCTGTGCTCTCAGTCTGAGTTGTCTGGATAATGTTAGTTAAGTAGAAAATGCCTTCCTATTCTCACAGGCACACAACTTCCATTTCCCATTTGTCCTGTGGCTTCTGCAGCTTGCTAGAGGGCCTACAATGTTCCACACTGACCAAGACTTCCAGGTTTGGACAACATGTGATGCCAGACAACTCTTATGAATTGCTGGAAGCCAAATTTAGAATGACTGGTGCTCGACAAGCAACTCTCACATTTGCACTATTAGAATGTACCAAGACAACAATATGGAAGATAGTGTCCACCTACTAAATTATGAATACATTTATTGTCCGACAATGACTTGAACCCTGATGGTTCTCTTTATGCAAGTAATGGAAAAATTGGGAATCTGTACACATTATAATTGTTGAACTGGCTTTGTTGGTTTTTTTTCCTTTGCTCATGCAAGCCAGTTTCCTAAGTCATGACATATGACTATGCAATTCCTCACAAGCTCTGCTTCACGTAAGTAGTACCCGAGCATTGACTTGTCTTACATGACAATTACGAAGACAGTGTTTAATTATATTTCAAAATGCTTACATTCAGTATGACATTGAAATATTATTTAAAGCCTATGACTTCAAAGAAATAGAAGCAATGTAAGAGTTTTAGAATATTTAATCAGTTATTTACTGATGCTGTAATATTGAATAATTAGGTATGTGAAATACTCATGTATCAAGCAAACCATAATCTATTCTCAGATTCCAATTTGCTTTTATAGGAATTTCTCAATTTTCAGAATAATGTTTCTGTCATTTGTAATAAATATAGTTTATAATTCCTATTTGGCAATCTCCACTTCAACATTTCTTAGGTTTATGTGATTCTTTTCTACTGGCACTTTTACTTTTTAAATAAAAAGAAAAATCCCATGGCTCAGCTGTGTTACTTTCACTGAATTATGCATGTTCTGTGTGTACAACACTGCCTAAATTTTTCAAATCTAGAAATTCTCCAAAACAATTTTTTTGAAAGACCAATAATCTCCTTTTTCATAAGAACTCCCAATTCTCTGTTACATATTTATGATAGTTAATTCAAGAGTACCTGAGCTTCCAATTTTATGGAGGGAAGATATTCCTAAAGAATATATCCATGAATAGAAAGCATGAAGCTCCAAAATATTAACCCACATATACTTTGGGCAGATATATATGCAGTAATAAAACGGCAAGTGGTCAGCTATATTTTCAAACCTAGTAGTCCTTATTGGGATATCTTAAGAGTTGAACTATTTCTACTGACAGTTTTTTATGATACATTCTCAAATATTCAATCAAACTGAGCTATGTACATATCAAGCAGATAAATGCAAGTCCTTGGCAAATACACAGAGCATGGTTTGATCTACATGTTTACCAAAAACAGAGCTATATTTCTTTCACTCCTCTCAACATATATGCTTATGGCATTGAGATAGTTCTCTTGCTCCCTACATACTATATTAGGTTAGAACTTGATGCCTGTTATGAAGCCCCAGACTGTTCATTTAAGGAATGGTCTGCGCAGGCCTACTCTGATTTAAAAAAAAAAAAAAATCTCTATGCGTTGCAAAAATACTTTGGCAGCTCATAACTTGGCTTTCTTGCTAGGCAATGGGACAGGAAAATACTGGCATACATCCTCGAAAGATAATAATCATTTTACATTTAAAAATTTGAACTATCCTACCATTCACATTTATGTCAAGAGTGAGTTACACAAAAGCTATGTTAGGGTTTGTTCAGATTAACAAGTTTTCCTTGGACTGAGCCTGTTTTCAGAGACAGATATGTTGGAAAGCAGAAGCATACCCAACAAATAAAAGTCCACCAGGAATTGAGGGGGGGAAAATATCTATATGGAGAATATGCTGCTTAATATTTGCTACACATACAATGGTTCTTATTGAAACTCTGACTTTTCTATCAATAATCCTAGTTTTTTCTTAAGAAAATAGTCTGGGTGGTGGTTTGCTTGCCTTTTACCCATCAAAGTTGAAATGACTCACCCACAGAAACCACAGTGAGTAAGTCTTCATGTGTCTGCCACTCTTAACAGAAGTGACCATCATAGATCAGATATGAGAAACAAAGGAAAAAGAAATAATTAGTAGAAGTCTGAGGGAACATTATCTTGAGTGAAATGAAAGGAAAATTTATTTTTAATACAAATCGTATCGGTTTTGTCTGCCTTATGTTTTGAATCTTTCAATCATTGCCATATAAAATGACTCATTCAATTTAGTATCTGGCATGGAAAAAAATTCTCTCCTGCTATTTGCCAAGAATTTCCATAAAACATTCTGGCATAGTCAGCATAAGATTGTGAGTAAATTCAATATTCTAATAAATTATTAAGTAAAAATATGAGGCTTATTCTCCTGTCAGAAGATAATTATTGCATTGAAATAAGGTGGGTAAAATATTTGTCATTCTTCCCATTCCTGTTTTACCTTTTCATTCTCGCTGATGTGTATGCAATTTAAAAATATGCTATGCTTTGTGAGGGTACACTGAAGTCTGAAAAGGAAAAGGAAAGTTTGCATTCCAAATGGGATCAACCAAGAGTCCTTCACACAGAGTGGAGGAGTAAAACAAAATTATAACTCCGTCTAGGAAACAATCATTTTATCAGATCACAAAATTTGGTATCAAATAATGTAAAAGCCTATTAATAAAATGTGATATTGGTTAAGCTGAAAATAGCCTATGATTCTTAACTAAAATTTTATAAACATAAAATTAACCCTAAAGAGAACAAAGGACCAAATTTGTGATGGTCAAAGAGTGTGCATCAAATAAGTGACTGTTGTCTAGAGCTTTTAAAGTTGCCCTAACTAAGACATTGCCTTTCCTTTTGTTGGAGAAAAAGTTCTATGTAAACTCTGTGGAAGAATTTGTTGCTAACCATAAAAAATATTTAAAGAAATGCCATAAGGCAGCTGTAAAAATATGAACTATAATCATAATATCTCAAAACTAGAAATATTTAGAAAAACAATTTAGAGTTTGAAATCTGATAAAAAGAGATCATTAACTTTCCATAACAGATGCCAGATAAAGTTACCAGATAGAGTAGAAAAGAGAAGTCTACACTTAATTCCCTAATCTAAAGTTCTGCCTTTGCTCTTTTCCAGACATCTGCTGTAAAGACAGAATAATTTGCAACACCTCTGGAGATAATAGACTGCTCCTCTAATTACGAAAGGGCTAATTAAAAGACAAATTATTGGAAAGTTTCAATTGTCATTCACCTGTAACTCACCAGTCTATCTGTAACATGCAGACAAGATTCTGAAGAACCTATAGAATCTTGACCGTTAAGATTGCGAGACAAACATCAAAATGAAGTCAAGTAGGAAAGATTGATTTTGGGTGATAGAATATTTCAGTGAAGGACATTGCTCATTTATTATTCCAAACTGCAACCTCTACGGTACTTTCATGCCACTAAAATTGGATATATAGAACTGATTGGAGGAAATTTACAACTCTAATACTAGAGCTTTAGAAAGTAAAAGTGCACTCTAACATGACGGCCTCCCTTCCGTCTTATTTTTTAACCTCCCTTTAACAATATTATAAAATTGTTTCTTAGTTTTACTTTTATTTTAGACATTATCTACTGAATCTCTTCAATAGTCAATTTAGATGTTACTCCCTTTTACATCTTTTAATAAAACCATGAGCATTTATCTTTTTTGTCTTTTCAATATGATTTAGTAACAACTTTTGGTTATATTGGTATTTATTGTTTAATTGTAATTTTAAACATTGTTTGCTGCCAAGGAAAGTAATATCACATTTGTTTTATTGTATTACTATTGTTTTCGGGTGAATGATTTTCCTTATGGTGATTCAATTCATTTTCCTATGTGTTTCACTAACTGACCCCTAACTCTGATGCAATTCTGAAACATATAATAAATAGTCTCTATCTGATATTCTCTTCTGGTGTTTTGCTCTTCTCTTCCGAATTTCTAAATCTATTGCTGTCTGCATGGGTTGCTCTCTATGTACTTCTCTAGGTAGCTTTTACATTTTCTTGGTTATTCTTATTATTTCTTTTTCATATTAGATTTCCTCTGTATTCGGTACTATATATTTTTCTTATTTTTATCAATTATTTTGCATAACATGTTGGAACACGAAAAGTGAACATTTTAGAATATTCAAATCTAAAACTCTTCATATTTAATTTAATGCCTGATTGAGAGTTTGGCTGGATATCAAATTTTAGGTTAGAAATAATTGTATTCCATAATTTTTAGACTATTTTGTTTTAGATTCAAATGTGATCATTGATCAGTCTCACTGTTATTTATCCTTTTCAATTTTTAAAATATATATTTGGAGGATACAAGGGCAGATTTCCTACCTTCCTACACACTGTGTTGTGGTAAAGTTTGGGCTTTTAGTGTACTCATCACCTGAATAGAGAACTTATACCCAATAGATAATTTTTCAGCTCTCACCTCCCCCACACCTTCCCACCTTTTAAAGTCTCCAATGTGTATTATTCTACTTTGTATGTATATGTGTGCAAATCATTTAGCTCTCACTTATAAGTGAGAACTTATGGTATTTGACTTTCTTTTTCTGCATTATTTCACTGAGCATTATGGCCTTCACTTTTATCCATGTTGCTGCAAAAGACACAATTTAATTTGTTTTATGACTGAGTTGTATTTTATGGTGTGTATATATGTGTATATGTGTGTGTGTGTATATATGTCTAATATATACATAATGTCTAAAATAAAAGTAAAACTAGAAACAATTTTATAATATTGTTAAAGGGAGGTTAAAAAATAAGATGGAAGGGAGGCAGTCATGTTAGAGTGCACC